TAACTTTTGCCCGATTCTCTGTGTATTTTGAACACGGCATCATATTTGACATTCGTATCTGCATCATTTTCAACTGTCGAAACATCCTTTATCTTAAGTGAATTTAATTCACTTTTGCTTCAATAATTCATTCGAATTATTTAATTTTCCCTTACTTGATCCTTCTTGCTTGATATGATTAGTTTCATATTTTGCTTGTATGATCAGCCACATTGTGCTTGTTGTAAATAAGTCACATCTCGCTTGTCTTCAGATCTTGCTTGTATCAGTCTAGACTATCTCTTGCTTGTATTGAATATTAGCAAAAATGTCTATTTTGAGTGGCTATTTTGTTGTACAATTTACCAAGCTTGATTATACTACACCTCCTAAACATGGCCAATGTTTGAAGGATTATTTTACAGTAGTTTGCAATGATGGAAGAATTTTTAACAATGTGATATTGTGTTGATATTCTATTGGAAGTATATGATATTGTGTTGTGTATGTATGTGGAATTCTGCTTATAAAATGGTAGTAAAAAAAAAAAAAAAAAAAAAAAAAACAATTTCATATTGTATGTTAGTTATTCACAACCATATATCACAAGTTCTAGGATTAGCATAATAATAAGCAAAATGGTCCCCCACTATCATTCTTACTCAATTAAATCTTCAACTATGCAATATTGACCTAATTTTGTCCTCTGTTGATTTATCTGTTAGTGGGCTGTTAATATTGAGGGCAAAATTGTCATTTTACCAACTTTCTCCTTCCTCCCCGTTCAGCAACGCCAAACCACTTCCCACTGTCAAAAAATCATTGGAAATAAAATTCCGATGCACAGCCGCCGCTGCTTCTACACTGATCGACCTTTGTCCCTAGACTAGTGGAAAGTGGAAGCTCATGTCTTGCTATACCAAGCCTAACTCATGCTAGTCACCCTGCGGATGCAGGTCACACCCAACCTATCTTCAAAGATAGCTTCTTCCAATCCGGGGGAGGATCAATATGATCAGGGACGGAGCCAGAGGGGGGACGGGGGGGGGGGGGGGAGGGGCAGCTGCCCCCCTCACCCCACCCCCACCCCAAATATAGTCTTTGTATAATTGTATGTATATATGTATATATAATACATGTTTTAGTATTAGTATAAAAAAACTACTATATGTTACTAAGAAGTGGGTTAGAGTAGTTGGTAGAGCATGTGTTTGAAAATAGCAAAGGTCAAGAGTTTATATTCCAACACACACACACACACACACACAAATATATATATATATATATATATATATATATATATATATATATATATATATATATCTTTTATATTAATAATGAGATGCATAATTTATAATGTGTTTTCTATTCAAATTATTTTATCAAATTAATTATGTTTCATATTTTATTATGAATATTTTTATAAAGTTTCGATGTGTTTTATTTTTCGTTCATATCCAACAATATTTACACCTATATTTATTAGGCAAATAATGAGATGTATAATTTATAATGTGTTTTCTATTCAAATTAATTATGTTTCATATTTTGTTATGAATATTTTTATAATGTTTTGATATGTTTTATTTTTCGTCCATATCTAACAATATTTACAACTATATTTCTTAGGTAATTTATTTATTTATTTTTATACTATTTCTTTTGTTTGAATGTTTCGCCTTTACTGGAAAAAATTTATTAATTCGTCTGTACTTTTTCGCCCCTCAACCGAATTTCTGGCTCCATCCCTGAACATGATTCTTACAACTGGTCTCTTGATAAGCCCCAATGGAAGCTAGGCGATCAGCCGTGACATTCTGTTCCCGGAGAATAATTATGATTTCCAACTTCCTGAATCCTGCAAGCCAACTTCTGACATCTTCCATGATTCCTCTAGCAGGTCCCAAGAGTGAGGTATATATGGTCGGAAATCCACCTCACAACTTCAGCCGCATCAGTCTGGACTTCAATCTCACGTATCCCTTTATTCCAAACCCACTGGAGACCCTTCGCCATAGCCATGGCGTCAACCAACAACCATAGCCGCAGAGCTCCCATCCACCTTCGTCGTAAGATGGCAATGCATCTCTCATAGCTTTTGCTTCAATTCATTCTGTACTCTTGGATAAATTTAACCAAGAGTTTAGACAATACTGTTGCACAAGCTTCTGTAGTTAGACATTAATGGGTGATAATAGAAAACCAACAGTGTATCACTCTTTTGTCAACATCCACTGGTGCGTGGAAATTATGGATTATAAATGTAGGCATTCCTCTGGACGAAACTTGAATCTTCTGCCCAGGATCTAAGGAAACCGCTGAGCACATCCTCAGGAAGTGTTGCAAGGCTAAGGAAGTGTGGAGACACGTTGCAGGCAGCCATAGGATCAACAGATGGAGTACCTGGAACTATAAGGAATGGCTCGAGAAAAACGTATCAGGACAAGGGCCGAGAAGACGATGAAGATGTGCTGGAAGCCTTCTACTAGTCACCATCAATATCGACCGAAGCGTCAAAGCAAGCACCCTTACAGAGGGGTATGGGGAGTCGCCAGAAACCAGAATGGTGATTGGGTTGACGGATTCTCGATCGGGCAGAACTGTGTACGAGGATCCCACTGCACCATTGTTGAAGCAAGAGCTCTTGTCAAGGCTTTGGAGTGGGCATGGCTGAAAGGGTTCCGAGACGTGGCTATATACCGGGAACAAAACACGGTGGCTGACAGGTTGGCGTGGTTTGGTGCTTTGCAGCAGATTGAGTGGCAGAACCTTACCACTTGGCTTTAGAGACATTGCATCCGTACTTTGAGGGAGAGTAGCTAGTCTTCTCTCCCGGGTTTCCCCCTCCACTGTTCGATCAAAAAAAAAAATATTGGTGTGAGGAAGGAGATGCAAGAAAGTGGTAAAATGACAATTTTGTCCTTAATATTAACTGATAAATTAACAAAGGACCAAATTAGGTAAATATTTCATAATTGAAGACTTAATTGGGTAACAATAATAGTGGAGGATTAAATTAGTAATTACAGCAAAGTCGAGGGACCATTTTGGTTATTAACTACTTTTTTTTTTTTTTTTTTTTTTTTTTTTTTTTTTATAGCTAATTCTCTTAAAAAGTTAATCTTATATATAATAACTAGTATTTGCCCCGTGCGATGCACAGAAAATATGTTATAAAAATATACTCTATAAGAGGTTTATTCATATATAAAATTTTTGTTATTTAATAATTATTATGTTTGAATTCTTATTATAAAATTATGAACATAAATATATTTACAATTAAAATAATATTTAAGGTGGGTGATTACTACAAATCTTAAACTATATTAAAAATTTAGTACATAGTATTTAATATTACAAATTTTTAAGAACTTAGTAAACTACAATAGTAATTGAATTACAATTTTAGAGTCACACGGATCAAAATTTTTAGACCTTTGAGATTTCTAACTCTAGATGTAGCAACATACAATTGACCTTTAAAGACCAAACAATTATTTATAAATATAAACGACTATTAATCATCATCTCCATTTAAAAAAATAATTGTAACAATAATTGCTCACCAAACCATATGGCTATATTATAGTTAAGATTTCAATTGTTTTTTTTGAGTTAAAAATGATTTTCAAGTGTTAACATTTACTTTCCTTATCTGGTTTGTCCTTCACTTTTGTGTTCTTTTCCCTTTGATATTTTATAAATAGTTTTCAGGGGTAGTTTTCCCTTTGATATCTGGTTTGGCATCATTTTTAATGCTATATTATAATTTTTGTTACAAACTTCACTATTTCCATGTAATTATATGGGTAATGTATTAGATTTTGTTGTATTGCACTAAACATTTTCTTCACTTGTTTCCTGTTATATATCATATGTTTTTCACTCATATAAAAAGTATTTGCTAAACTTTCTAAATCTTAACTATAATACCAACATGTAATTAATACCAACATTTAACCATTAATATCATGTTTTCAAAAAAAAAAAAAAACCATTAATATCAACATTTAATTTTCACAAGACCATATGGAACTTGCTAGCTAAATCTTAACTATAATACCAACATGTAATTAATACCAACATTTAACCATTAATATCAACATTTAATTTTCTCAATACCATATTGCTTTATTATAATTAAGATAAAGCCCATAGATTTGACCAATCAAATTGTCCTCCAAATCTCGCCCAAACTGTTTTGGGGGAATTTTGACTTCTTTATTTTTTTCCTTATTTTATGGAAGGATATCTAGATTCTTTTATCTTTTTTGGGTTTAATTAGTTTTTGTTGTAAAATCCCACCCAAACCAAAAAATACGCCGTGAAATTCGTGAGAACTACATCATTTATTTGAGATTTGCTTATTTTCAAAGTCTAATTTAGAATTTCAAGTGTAATACAGCTGTTTTTCATTTTCCAATGCGTAATAACTGATAAAGATATACATATTTTCCATTTTCCAATGCGTAATAATTGATAGAGATATACAAGCATGCTAAAAATAATTATTACATTTTTTGAATCTAAATTCTGCAAGAAAATTGCCTATAAATACTGATGTCTTGAGGTGAAATCCACACTTGCATTTAAAGCACAATGAGAGAAGAAATCAGGAAACAAGAGGTGATTTCTCTGTATTATCATTTTTATGCAAATAATATCTATGCAAATGATATCTTGATATAACTTTGTTTTGTGTTTCTAATTTGTTATGGAAAGAAGTGGATTGTGAGATGCAAAACTTATAGGAACCATTCTTTCATGGTTTCAAGAGCATAGCTGCATAAATAAGTTTCAACAGTACTATTAGAAACACTTTATAAGAGGGTTTCAAATTGCATTGAGACCTGAAATCATCAAGAGTAAAGTATGATCATCATACCAAAAAGTTGATATTACAAACATGGTATATTAAGTTTATGGTAAGATTTAGAATCAAAAGTAAATCATTATATTTAACATTCACAAAGAAAATTGGAATGAACCACTACAATAGGAGGCAGAGGAAATCAGGTATTCATTTTAGTTTTCTATGAGATTGTATTGCACAATGTAGAAAAAAACTTGGTGTAGTTACTAAAATACTAGGTCTTTGATGGAATTTAGTTCAAACGAGTCCATAGCAAATGTGTTCACCTCTTAATACCCAGCATCAACAATTCTTCGTACTCAAGTTCATGCTTTGGAGTAGCTAATCAACTTTCCAGCTTCATTTTCTTCCTCACAAGTTGAACAGTCTATTAAACACAAGACTTCCTCCGAGCAAAAATAAGGGTCAACAACAGCCACCTAAATTTTGCAAATGAAAGTACATACAAGAAACACATATAAATTTATGTAGTCAATCAACATTCGTATTTATGCTAAAACTTAAAAATATTAAAGTGAAATATAAACATTACTCAATTCAAATACTTTTGAGGCAAAGTAGTATAGAAATATTAGAGAATGTTTATTTTCAGAAACCATAACAAGTATGCATTCTTAAGCAGTTAGAAATCCATTTGCATACTGAAATTAACATGTTATTTATTAAATTGTGATTTTGGTTTTTAGAGAACTGTGATTTTTTAAAGATTAAAATTAATATTTATCAATATTTTCCACAATATTAATTTATAAAACCATAATATATTTTTTTGGTTCTGATGGAGTGAAACTCAATCAAAGCATAAAGAACATAATGTGGGAAAAAGAAGACTTAACTGGAAATGTCAGCCTTATTCTTGCTGACCTTTCAAACACAAAGAAGTGTATGCAGAAATGCTAAGAAAACAGTTGGAAAAAAACTCCTATAAAGCCATAATATAAAATACATATTGTTCAATGAAATATTATAGGATAAAAAAATTAATAGCTAACCACTTTAACATTTAAAGTTACTTAGTCAATAATTGCAAATTACATATATTGATACTCATGAGAAAACTGGAAATATAACATTTTTAAGGAAAAAGTTGTATTGAAATAGATAAATTTACATTTTCTTAGTGTCTCTAGGCTGTTTATTGTTTTTGTCCGGTATTCCCCAACCCATTTTTCTTCATCAATGATGAATATATCTTCAGACAGATTATTCAAATATAATATGTTGACATTTATTTTAAAGAGAGGGTGGTGGAGCTGCAAGGCCGGAGATAACTAAACAGTTAAACAAGAAACACACAAATGCCTTTACCAAAAAAAAAAAAAAAAACACAAATGCATATTTTCTAATATACATGTATATGTATCCAGGGATGCATATATTTTGTATATAGATGAATTAATTTTTTTTTAAAAAATGTATTTTTCAGTCATTCTCACCATATTTGTAATATAATACTTAAAACAATATTCGTGTAGAAGTAAATTATAGTTTGCAGTTTAAAAATATATATAATCTGCAAATTGATATCAAACAATAATAATATGCTGTTAAAAATTAGAATAAAAATATCATGAAATTATTGAACATGGTGAGAGTGAACTTAGAATAGTAAAAAAATTGAACAAATTAGGACTATATCTCTATGAAGTAATCGAGGCAATTATTCAATTAAAATTGCAAAGAAATATACATGCATGCCATAAAAATCATCAAAATTGAAAAACCTAAACATCATATGAAAATTATAGCTACTGATTTTTCATATTTTCACTAAATAAACAAAAAAAATAGGAATAAGATACTTATCTTTGTTGGTATGTTTCTTTCTCTTCCAATTCGTGTTCTGCTTCATAATCGTTGAGCGTTTTTGCATATGGTTTCACTGTGTTTTTATCCACAAATTGTATTAAGAAAAGAATTAGGGTTTGTGTGAAGATAGGTATAAATAGATGTGTAGATTGAAGAATGGAATAAAAATTACCTGATAGGGTAGGTTCTTTCATGCATTGTCGTTGAACATCTTCTTTCTCCGTTGAACTCTTTGTGGTAGAAGAGTTTGGATCTGCTGAGTTCTGGGTTTTAGAGGTAGAAATGATGGAATTGCAATCATATTTACGCTGTTTTGGTGTAGTTATAGCTTTGATTGTAGGTTGTAGTTAGTGATTTGGCACGGTTTCCATTTTTGATGAGCTTGGAGGCGTTCAGGCAGAGTGACGAGGAAGGCGACGAGAAAGGGGGAGGGGAATTTGGGGTCTCATGTGGGGTGGTATGATTTTATTTGTTTATGGTTTGGGTCGGGTATGGGCTTGTGGGCTGTTTAGTATTATGGGCTATATATATTTATATATACAGATGGGTTAGTTGGGCTATTTTAGTTTATATATATATATATATATATATATATATATATATATATATATATATATATTATTTTTTGTATAAGTTATGTTTTATAAGATTTGATTATGGAAATGTTATTGAATAACATTAATTTTTATTTTTAATTTTTGAAATAATTTGTTTAGATATATCGTTATTATTTTGTAATAATTATTAATTATTTCGTATTGTAATTTATTTCTATTTGTACAACTTATTTATTATTTTTTTGAAATGATTTATATTAGTAGAGTTGTTCTCTAAATTTTTAAAATTTATTTCATGTATTGGGTAGTTTTTTTTTTAAAAAAATTGAAGTATTAAATTTAAATAAATTTTAAATTGTATTTAGATAAATATATGATTATTAATCAATTAAATATAATTTTGAATGAAAAATCAATATTTGGTTTTTTTTTAAAAAAAAAAATACAAATTTGAAATTGTTATAAATCATCTTATATTTATTTAATATATGCTTTTGATTATTAATTTTTTTTCTGCTATTTTTTTTTTTTTAATGTAGAAAACTTTGGAGTAGTTTTATGAAATGAAATTTATCCCAAAAAATGAAATGAATAGGGGTTACAAATGTATAGACAAGTGTTGGTTGGAATTTTGGGATTCAATTAGTAAGCCACTTTGTATTTTGAGAGATGGTACGTGTGTTTGTATTTTTGATTATGTACAATTTATTGTTGTTTGTGAGTATTGATATATTTGATGTATTTATACGTTTGTGTTTGTAGATAATGTTGTTAATAGTACAATATGTTGCAATGTGAAATTATCTTAAACGAATTGCTCAAATAGTCATAATGTTTATACCATTCCTATGACACCTTTTATTGTTGCGGAATATGGTTAGTTTATTGACTTATTCTATTGCGAAGAAGATGCTTAGTCTGGTTCCTCAACTACAAATGTTGTATATAAGGAAGTGTTTATTTTTAAATATTGGAATAAATGTATGTAATTTTTATTTAATTATAGTTAATGTGCATATGCCCAATTGTATTTTGTATTTTATAATTATATCTCGGTCTATAATACACTATTGACATATATGTTCTCATCATATTATTATACCGTGCATCGCACGAGTTCAAATACTAGTTTGCATAAACAGAGGTGCACTTATTGTTATGCTGTGAAGTAGATAAATTATTGTCATACATATAATTATCCTAATCCTAAGTTTAATATTCTTTTTCTTTTATGCTAATGATTTTTTGAGAGTTTAATTTTAGGATTAATATTTGATGCATCGCCTATGTATAGGTGCTATATACATCGGTGGTGAAGAAGAAGATGTCAATCATTAAAAAACAAAGTCAATATTAATCGGGTCATTTTTTGCAAAATATAATTAAATAACATTAACCGGGTTATTAAATAACATTAAATTAGAATAATATTAATCACTATATTTAAATCTAATTTAAATATAATTATACTAATGGGAATGCTTTTAGTAATTTTAGGTGGTTTTTTATGGATGAAGCATGATGTGGAAGAAAGAGAAATTTGAGATCTTCTTGCAAGCCTTGTTTTTTGTGAGCCACACTAAAAAAATTTAAAAATCAATGACAATGATGCGTGTCAAGCGCACATAAGTGCCCAACCGGCGCGTAAAAAGTTTTTCTCTTTTTTACTTTTAGTGTCAGTTTTTTTTTTTTTTTTTCCTTCTATTTTTCCTCTTTCCACATTCTCTTTCCTTATTGACAGTATAAAAAAGTACCAAAAAGTCTAGAATAATGTTGTTGGTCTTAAGCAGTTAACTAATTCAACAATTGTTATACCATGGCCAAGGGTCCAAGGTAAACAACTCAAAATTGAAATGGTCTAGATTGTGTTTTGTAGTGGGTGTATATGAGCAAATAATGTAAATTCTGATATTTTCTTCATACTTTCATACTACAAGTCTTAACATTGTTCGTATGGAGGATGTGTATTCAATGTTTAAAATAAATAAAGGCTACCTCTTATATAGAGGCTACAACTAGAGAATACAGGAACAGTTACAACCAACTTAAAAATAATAAAGGAAACAGAACACCAAAAAAGGAGTTGAATAAAAATGCCAGGACCTATTCTTTCACATGCCCCCGCAAGATGGTGCAGTCATCGGAAACTCCAATCTTGTCCCGAAAATAAGTAAACAGGTGCCTCCCAAGAGGCTTAGTGAGTAAGTCGGCCACCTGCTAAGCATACCATATATGTTGAACACATAGCGACCCATCTGCAATCCGTTCCCGGCGAAAAAGTAGTCTAGTGCCAAATGCTTCATCCGAGAATGAAACACCGGATTTTTACACACATATGTGGCACTCCAATTATCCGTAACCAGCTTCGGGGAACTAGGCAAAACCACACCAAGCTTAGACAAAAGATGTTGAATCCATAAGACTTAGGCAGCTGAGTTGGCCAGAGCCCGAAACTCAGCTTCAGTAGACGATCGGGAAACAAAACGCTGCTTCACGGACTTCCAGGACACAACATTAGCACCAAGATACACCACATAAGTCGTAGTAGACCAGCCATCGTCATGAGCACCCCCACCCCCCAGTCAGAGTCAGAATATGCCACGAGCGAGAGGGACGAACCTGAACGAAGAAGCAAACCATAATGTATCATGCCTTTCAAATACCTCATCACACGCTTAACCGCAGACCAATGAGCTTCCGCAGGCTTGGACATGAACTGAGCAAGTTTGTTCACAGCAAAGGCAATGTCTGGTCGAGTAATTGCCAAATATTGTAACCTGCCAATCGCCTTCCGGTATAACGTAGGATCAACCGAATCACCCCCTTGTCGAGACAAGTTCACTGATGAACAATAGGAATAGACACCTCCTTCGCCCCCGCCATAGAGAACTTCTCTAAAATATCCACCACATACTGGCCGGCGACAAAAACATGCCAGTGGACGTAGGTATAACCTCCACACCAAGAAAGTGTGAGAGCACACCCAAATCCTTTAGGGAAAACCGAGCTGCTAGTTTACAGATAAATGAATTAACAAAGCCGTCATTGTTCCCCGTGACTACAATGTCATCTACGTACACCAGAAAATAAACCTCCACACCATCTAGCCGATAAAAAAATAAAGAAGAGTCAGCTACAGACTTTGAAAAACCAACAGAAAGCAGAAAACAAGACAACTCCAAATTCCAAGCCCTTGGGGCCAGTTTCAATCCATAAATTGCTTTGTTCAATCTGCAAACGTGACGCTCTAGTCCAGGTTGAACAAAACTTGTCGGTTGCTCCATGTAGACATCCTCATGCAAAGTTCCATTTAAGAATGCATTGTTGATGCCTAACTAACGTAGTAACCACCCTTGTTTCAAAGCAATAGTAAATATAATACGAATAGTAACTGGCTTGACTACCGGACTAAAGGTCTCATAATAGTCACGACCCGGTTCTGCGAGAACCCTTTAGCTACCAATCTAGCCTTGAACCTGTCAACAGAGCCATCTGGTTTGCGCTTCACTCTAAAAATTTACTTACAACTTACAGTAATATGATCAGCATGGGGAACAAGTTCCCACGGAGAATTGTGCACTAAGGCATCATATTCTTCCACCATCGCTAATTTCCACCGAGTATCTTGCAATGCTTGAGTAACTGTGCGTGGCTCAACAGATGGAGATAGCGGATGCACAGTGACGAAGTTCACAAACTTGTCATTAAAATACCGTGGATTCGGACGCCTCGTTCGTTGGGACCTGCGAACAACAGGCTGTTGCGATTGTGCTGGACAATGTAACTCACCAGATAGATTAGACACAGAATTAGAGGGAGAAACATGCGAAGCATCAGACCCAACATTAGACGCTTCTGGTTAAGGCACGAAACTCGAGGTAGGCAGCACAGGCATGTTATGTGAAGAAATTGAATTTTGTGAAGTTGGTGAGTTTTGTGAGATAACTAGTGGATTTTGGGAGGCAGCATGTGAATTTAGTGAGGCGGTAGGTGAATTTTGTAGAGCAATAGGTATATTTTGTGAGGCAGAAGGTGAATTTTGTGGAGCAACAAGTATATTTGTGAGGCAAAAGATGAATTTTGTGAGATGGTAGGTGTATGTTGGGAGGCAGCAAGCGAATTTAGTAAAGTAGGCAACACAACCTATGTAACTTGTGGTATAGACGAAGATAACATCGAGGATAGAGGATATTGCACTGTTGGAATTGATGACTGTAGAGACTGACTTGAGGTAGAGGCAGTTGAGGAAAAAGGAAAAACATCATAAACAAAACGAACATGCCAAGAGAGATAGACTGGCCCTGTAGAGAAATCTAAACATTTGTAGGCCGACTGGCTTAAGGAATAGCCTAGGAACACACATGGAACTGACTTGGGTTGTAACTTTGTGGGGAAGTACGATTTTAGCCAAGGGAAACACAAGCAACCAAACGGTTGAATCTTTCGTAAATTTGGTTCTTTGTGAAAGAGTTTGGAAAACGGAGAAAAATTTGCAAGTGGGGAAGTGGGCATACGGTTTATAAGATATACTGCTACTTGGACCGCATAAGACCAATAGAAAATAGGCATGGATGCGAAATGCAACAATGACATAGTTGTTTTTACCACATGCCTATGATGCCTCTCGGCCAAGCCATTGTGCTCGGGAGTATATATGCGGGGAAGTGAAGTGAGAAATGCCATATTTGTTAAAAAAGTGTGCTAATTTTTTGTACTCTCCACCATTGTCTAATAAGACAGAGATAATTCAACATCCAAAGTAATTTTCTACCATTTGCTTGAACTGGGGGAATATGATAGAAACGCTAGATTTATATTTTAGGGGAAAAAGCCAAATATATTGTGTGAGTGATCAACAAAAATGACATAGTATTTATAACCATCTACGGAGACAGTAGAGGTAGACCACACATCTAAGTAAACTAACTCAAGAGGTTTGGAACTTAACATACTGTTTACTGAGAACGACAATTTATGGCTCTTGTTCACATGACAGGAAGTACATGAAAAGGAAGTAAGAGCATTAGAGTCATAAATTAATTTATTACAACTCCTAATAGAAGCAAGAATCTTATTGGATGGATGTCCGAGACTGTGATGCCAGTCCGAAACTGAAACTTTTGACAAGACATTAACCTGTGGATGACACGGTGCTCGAAAATATTAAACATCATGGTCTATCTCCCCAACATTAGACGAAACCCTGTTTGTCTATCATTGACAACAAAATGAGTGTCAAAAAATTCAACAGACACTGAGTTAGACTTGCAAAGTTGGGAAACAGAGATTAAATTACGTTGTAAGTGTGGAACACACAAGACATTAGATAGAGTGAGGGGACGAACATAAGAAGGCAAAAACAATTGACCAGTGTGAGAAATGCTTAGGGACTTACCATTGCCAAGCACAATCTCATCCGGACCCGTATAGTTAACAAATGACTGCAGTCGGGACGGGTCAGTCACCGTATGATGCGAGGCTCCCGAGTCCATAATCCACGGTTGCTGTTTCGTAGTAGTAGTAGATGTTGTATTGACCATTGGAGCCTGGGCAGATTGACTGAGGGGATCATGAACGCTAATGTTGTTGTCACAGAGGAACTTGGCTAGTTCAGAGAAATTGAAATTGGGAGCAAGTTTCAAATGGAATCAATTCAAAGTTGGGAGCCAATGTAGAATTGAAATTGGGAGCCAATTCAAGTTGTAGTATGGGATGCAATTCAGATTGGGGACCAATTAAAAGAAGACATTGAGGAGCAATTGAATTGAGATGAAATTCAAAGAGAAGTCCAATTTCGAAGTCAACATTGAGAAGTAATTGGTGCTCCCAATTCAAGTTGTAGTATGGGATGCAATTCAGATTGGGGACCAATTAAAAGAAGACATTGAGGAGCAATTGAATTGAGATGAAATTCAAAGAGAAGTCCAATTTCGAAGTCAACATTGAGAAGTAATTGGAGCACCAGGAGATGTTGGGAGCCAATTGCAAGTCAAAGTCAAATTGGGTGGAAGTTCAAAGCCAGTTTGAAGTCTGAGAACACCCAGACGTGAGAATGAAGAAGATGAAGCAGAACTTACAGTGAAAAATATTCTCACAAGGAAAATACTAGTCTAACTAGTATGGGATTAAAATAAAGATTATTTTTGAATCCCAAAGATACAAGAACCACTTCAGAGCTGATCAGAGAAGCCATTCTACACTAAAACTGAGACCCAGATATTTCCATTCAACGTTAAAACAGAGGAATATCAGATGAAGTTTGGGAGCTCATTTACATGGAGATGAAGATCTTTCAAACGGCTAGCTTATCTCTTTCTAACATTTTTGCAGAAGATAAGATAAGATTTCTGACATGGGAGCGTCTCTTTCCAACGGACGAATTCTCATCACCAGCTATAAAATGATGAAGATGTGAAGACTTGAAGAGCACAGAGCAGTGAATAAGAGTAGAAGAGCATACAACGAACTCAAAAATAAGAGAGCAGAAAATTCGAATCCATCAAAGGGATCGAATAGAGCAATTAAGCTTGAAAGAGCATAGAGCAAAAATCTCATTTGGTACAGAGCATACCAAAAATCTTCAAGTGAGAAGTGAGAAAAGAAAAAGAACTCAGAGAGCTTCAAAAGAGAAATATTCTGAGAGTTCTTAAACAGAGCAAAGCAGAGCAAAAATATCAAGTGCTTTACTTCATATATTCAAAGAGAGAAAACACTCAGAGCTGTCAAGAAAAATCATTCCAGAGTGTTTATCTTCATCAAAGAGACCTGCGTATCATTGAAGATCATCTACAGAGTCTCAGAAGTTGGAAGCAAGACAACACTTGTTTTGGAGCAAAACAAGAGAAGGGAGGAAAGTAGCACGGAGCTGTGAAATCCTGGATTGTCACACGGAGCTGTGAGATCCGAAGCAGCAGTGTCGGAGACACTGGGCGTGATTGGTGTGGGCTTGGTGATCAAAGCACCAGATCACGGGATACGTTTCTACCGGAGTGTGGAAGACGGGGGGAAAGTAACGCGGAGTCGTGAAATCCTGGGATAGTAGCGCGGCGACGTGAAACCCGAAGCAGCAGTGTGGTGTCACTGGGCGTGATTAGTGCGGGCTTTGTGATCAAAGCACTAGATCACGGAAATTCATTGTATCTTGGAACCAAGGAGTGGTAGATATAGTGAATTGGCTCTTGGAGAAAAGAGCAAGTGGAGTAGGAGGATTACACCACCTCGCGAACCACTATAATTGTCTTGTGTTCTTTACTGCTTTCTTTACAAACCGCTCTTTACATATATGCTCTCACGAAGATATACTGCTCACACAATCTCACACACACTTTATGTTTAATTATTTCCGCTGTGCACCATACTCTAACAATCTACTTATGAGTTTTGGTTTATCTCTGTCTTAGCAATTGTTGTGCTGTGCGAAAAACTTTGAAAGTCTATTCACCCCCCACTCTAGACTTTCACCCTACCTCTTTTGGGACCAACATGCTTACAATTAGGGCCTTCTGGGTTTTGTAGTTTGTGGTCTGTCACCGACTTCTTTATCTTGGTTGTCTCTGTAGGATCTAATTCAGGCGCGAAACGAGCCAGCTGGAGGAATTGTTTGTGGTATTCCCTGATGGTGGCTATCCCTTGTTTTAGGTGGAGAATTTCCTCGTACATGGTTGCCCTTGCGGGTGCGGGGTGGAATCGTCCTCGTTGTCGTGCCCCTAGGCACTCCTAGTTGAACCCCCGGTTGTTACCCATAAGTGGGTTCTTCTTGGATTTATCAAAGATCGGCCTCGTGTCTCCGAACGAGGCCACCTTTACGCGGCGTTCCTCTGGGCATTCCACTAACCCGAGGATTTTGTTGAAGGTTCGGATTCGTTCTGCGAGGAGTGTGGGGTCCTTGACTGTCTTTTTGTTGGCGCTATGTTGTTGGTTTTCAGGGCCAATGTTTATTGTAATGATGAGTTAGTGTGCTGCACCCTTACCTTGGTGTGGTAAGCGTAGGGGGGAGTTCTTTTAAGTTAGAGAGGGATGAAGTGAGGGGAGGTTATGTGTAGGTTTCACAATCTCACCACGCATCCTAAGATTCCTGAATCCTATGTTCCTAAGTACCTAGAGTTCAAGCCTAGTGTCCTAAGGTCTGGTCTTAAGAGTCTTATCCTAGGGTCAAACTTAGGCTCTGATACCAACTGTAACACCCCGAAATTTTAAAACTTTTAAAGACTTATATAATAAGGTATTATCTTATTAAATCCCAAACAGAGCATTGTTAAACATAAGGGTATGGGGTGCTATGCCACACCTGAGCTGGAGAACTCAGATGCATAGGCTAACTAACTAAATTCCGTAATAATGTAAATGGCACGCAGGCCGATAGGGAAACTATCTACACTACGCCTCGAATCTCTAGCACGCTCCGGTGTCAACTCATCAGTGCCTGAAAGCCAAATATATCTGTTCAGCGAGAGATGCTGGTAACCCACTCCAACGCGTTGAAATACAATACATATAGACATATATATAGTTATACGAAAAACATTTTAAAGCATGAAGATATATCCTACGAGACTCTGGCTTTTAAAACAGGGATAGAGTCGACAGATAGAGCTAAGCACAACCAACAGTTATATCAAGCATATCCAGTTTACAATATGGGGAACAGGCAAGACAGATAAAGATAAGCACAATCAATAACCATAACCCAACATATACGATTCCCAGCATAAATCCCATAGTCACATCCCAAGACACTCATAACAACAAACCATCCATATCTCATCACACAAGCACACTTTGTGGGCGCCACAGGACCAATCGCATGCCCATACATGAGGGTCAGTGCATATAGCTCTGACACGGCCCCGCAGCACCCTGCCCCGTATCGCAACACGGAGGGGTCGATTGCAACCGACCGGTGAACCGCAGCTCATCATAATGTTTCATCGCAACCAAACAATGGACCACAGCCCAAGTGTAGTCATCTGACCGCAGTCAGGAAATATGAACCGCAGCTCATGTAGAAACGTTTGATCGCAACCAAAGTGGACCGCAGCCAGCTTCTGAACCACAGCTCAGGAATAACCAATCCGATCGCAACCGAATTGGGGTATCATGCACACATAACACATAGCAAGCTCATGCAACCCACATTAACACATTGGGAATGGGGAGAAAACGTATAACGAAACCTATGCGAGATCCTTCACATACTAAGAATAATCCTAAGGGGTTCATACTTCTTCCACCTAGGTCAACGGGATACCGATTCAACTAGCATGCAATAAATAAGACTCATACAACCTACGAACGGTACCCAAAATATCAAACTAGACATAGGCACGATAGACGAAGTCCGTTGGGACACCACGGGGGTCGGGGGAACATCAAACGGGGAAGCCAAAAACCCAAGGTGGGATAAAATCCAGCGGGTAGCCGGTGAGTGAGGGGTCACCCGCCGGCTGCCCGCCGGCGGCAGCTTTTCGGGTAGCGGGTGCCCGGCGGGCAGCTGCCCGCCCGCCGGCTGCCCGCTGCCGGCGTTGCTAACATTGGCCGCGGGTAGGTGGCGGGTCCACTACCCCCCACTGACTCTTTCATCACAGAAAACGCCCCGGGAACCATTGTGGAACCCGAAACCATGCTTAGACACTTTCAAACGCAATTGACAACCACACGTAGACAATTAACGGGTCCAAAAGCAAGAATCATACGGCACATAACCTATCATGTTTTTCTAAACATAATCAACACCCAAACATTCAAATTCCCACCCAATACACCAAGAATAATACCACACGAGTTCCACGATACAATCTTGGGTTCTAATTACTTTTAAATCAACAAGAACGCAATTCATCTTCTAATATCAAGATTCGGTAGGAATATCACATAAACATCAAGAACATCATATAATCATCAAGAACATCAAGAACACCACATAATCATCAAGAACCTCTTATCATCAAGATCATCAAAATCACCCATGGAATCATAACACCAATTATCAAGATCAATATAACGAATCATCAACACACAAGAATATGGGGAAAGCCTAAGAGGGGAATCGTAGCTATGAAAATAGGTTTTGTTGAGACATGGGTTACCTCTTAGCCTTAATTAATTCCTTGGCTATGAAGGGTCTTTCTTTAAGCTTTCTTCTTTCTTGATTTCTCCTAAGGGAATTCTTGGAATTTCTTATGTGGTGAGAGATTATTTGTGGTGAAAGATCTAGGTGCCTCCTATATCCCTATTTATATATTTAAGACTCCTAATTAGGGCCTGAATGGTATGGGTTTACTAATCCTATTCCTTATAGGACTAAGGGCTTGTTTTAGGGATAAGGGTCCATGGTCCATAGTGGAACATATTAATTACTTAAAGAGAATCCTAATCATAATCTGAATAGTAAAAGGCCTACTTCCTTTATTCCTAATAGATAACTAGGTCTAGGATTCCTAGTTAGAATCCGAATAGTAAAAGGTTCACATTCTTTATTCCTAATAGGCTTAAGACTCTAATTTAGGCAAGGGTCCATGGTTTATGGTGGACCTTATTAATTAATTAAAGGGAAACCTAACCGAATTAAATCATATTTAATTATTATTAACGGGATTAATTAAATAATTAATCCGGGATTGAAGGCTGTAACACGGGGTGTTACAGTAAACGTTTTGCTTTACTGCCTGGTAGATCCCTTTTGCAAAATCTATATAGGTTAAACTATTTTTTCGTCTTTGCACGTATTTTCTTAAAAAGAAATGGAAAGAGATCATGCTAACCATTCTAGGCCTCTTGCCTTTAATCTATCTAAATTTGATGATTGGAAAGTATGGATGCAGGCTCATCTCTCGGCTATTCATGATGAAATGTGGGACGTTATAAAAGAAGGTCCTATCGTCGTTATGATGGTGAATACACAAGCGGCTGCTCAAGGAGCAGATCTAGAAATCTCAGCTTACTTCAGATGAGAAGACAAGAGCAAATATTGACAACGTTGCACGAGATATTCTCTACAAGTCTCTAGATGACTCGTTATTTCTGCGGAAATGCACTACGACAAAGCAAATCTGGTATACTATCATGATTCTAAGAGAAGGGGACGAATAAGAAAAGGACAACAAGCTCACTATTTCCATGAAGAAGTTTGAAGACTTCAAAATGATGCCAAACGAAGCAATCACCAACATGGAGCTTAGGTTCACAAAACTTATGGGTGACCTTTCAGATCTCGGAAAGGAGCTGACTAAAAAGGAGAAGAATCTAAAGATACTCCGAGGGTTTCCGAAGTCATGGGAGATGAAAATGACAGCCGTGAGAGATCACAGACACATGAAGACTACCAACACAAGTAAAATCTTTAGTGATCTCAAGGCCTACGAATTCGAGTATGAGCCCAAAGAGTCTGAGGAATCTGAAATTAGGAATATTGCCTTTGTTGTAAGTCAACAAATGTTGACATCAAACAGGTCAAACTCTAACCCTAGTGAATTCTTATCTAATGAATAGTTTGCTTTGTTTGTACGAAAGATGAAAAGGTTCATGAGGAAGAACAACTTTCAAGATCATCAAAGATCACCAAATTCCTCCAACCGAAGGCAATACGAAAGATCTACTTAGTCATTGAAACAAGAGACGGTGGATGCACAAGTGCTATGCTATAATTGTCAAAATCCAGGACATTTCAAAGCAAATTGTCCTCATCCCATCGTCCGCAAATACCAGGAGCAGGATACCAGCACAAGCTCAGCAAAAGAAGCTGTTGAATCGAGCAAGAGAAGTGGAAAACTAGAATCAACAAGTTCTCGACACGAGAGAAGAAGAAAGGCAATGGTGGTAAATGAACCAGCTGGAGAAGCTCAACCCGAAACAAGCACCTCAAGCTCAAGTTCAGAGAGCGAAAGTTCGAGGGATGAGAATGGCCTTTTGTGTCTATTCAGTCAGGAAGAAGAAGCAGATAATTTGTGCTTAATGGCAAATGATGATGAGGTAAACTCTCAGACTTCCTCGTCTACTCAAATAGAGACCAGTTCGGAAAATGAAGGAAATCCAAATGAAACTATCTTTGAGATGACGATGGATTTCAAAGTAATAAAAAACACATACTCCAAATTAAAAGAAGAAAACTCTCGACTATTGATCAGCTACGATGCGCTACGGCGAGTTAGAATCGATAACATCAAGCTAGCCATCGCAAAGGATCAGCTCGAAAAACAAGTTCTTCTTCTTAAGGAGCAGTGTACAGAAAGAGAGTTGCGGGAGAAACATCTGCATGAGGTTCTTGATTCGTTTAACAAATCATCTAATCTAATGGATCGATTGGTGAATGGATCAAAACCGCCAGGGGAAAGAACAGGAATTGGTTATGACCACAGCTCCCCTTCACATATCTTGTTGAACAAATCTACAGACAATTACTCACATGAAAGTTTTAAGTCTGCATTTGTTCAAGGCCCTACCCAAATGTCTGAGCCAATGATACATATTAACAATCGTAATCAACCACAACCAACAAGCCAACCGAAAGGAAAGGCTGTACAACGAGTTGTGGAACTTCCGAATGGAAATTCCTTGAAAGGCAATCCTAGGCATAACACAAATGTCAAAAGGAATGGATCAGAAGGAAATAGACCTAGTCTGTACTATCAAAAAGATCAGCCTACAAGGAATAACCAAACGAAGGTAAAATCGAATATAAATTAGAGGCAAAATCGTTCTATGTATCCATGAAAGGATCCTCTACGAGGAAATCTGAAAGAAAAACGAAACAGACATGCCAAAAGGTCACTTAGAAGACCAATGACGGGCAACGGATGAAGTGGACCATCTGAATAAGATTGGCTTGTTTATCCCGAACCTTTATCAAAAGCAGAATTTGAAAAGATTCATAGGCATAAACAAACCAACTATTCTAAGCAGTATCGCAATCCACATGGTGACTATTTTCAAAGTCGATACAAAGCCAAAAAATTTGCTAAGATTTATTATGTTTATCAAGTATCTAATGCGTACAAATGACCAAGGATGAGTTATGTCAACTCTAGGTTCATGTGGATCCCAAAATTGACTACTAACCCCTCAAGGACCCGAAACCGAAGGGGTACCTAAAGTTACATAATTTTTTATTTTAAGGAAAACAGGTCATATGATATGTTGATAGTGGATGCTCAACACATATAACCGGAGACAAATCAAACTTGAGCAATTACAAAGAAGTTGATGGACCAAAAGTTGTATTTGGAGGAGAATCAAGTGGAAAAACGAAAGGAACAGGAGACATCATTAGAAATGGAGTAATCATTCGAGATGTTACACACGTTGAATGACTCAAGTTCAATCTGCTAAGCACTGGTCAATTTTGTGACAAGGGCTATAAAGTGGAGTTCTCCAAAGATGAATGCAAAGCCATTAGCAATAAAGATGGTGACATCGTTCTCACGGAAAAACGAAAGAAAAACATGTATGTAGTTGCTTGGGAACTTTGTAAAACTAACATTTCTCTTGTTGCTACTAGTAATGCAGATTTGAGCCTGGAATGGCACAACAAAATGAGTCATTTAAATCTCAAAACCATCAACAAGCTATGAAAGAAAGTTCTTGTGGAAGGGTTACCAAAAGTAACCTATGTCAAAGACAACATTTGTGATGCATGTCAAAAAGGAAACAGATTAAAGTATCTTTCAAATCAAAATCTTCAGACACAAATTCTCGCCCCTTAAGCCTTCTACAAATGGATTTGTTTGGACCAGTTGATCCTGCCAGCCTGAGTGGACGAAAGTATTCTCTAGCTGTCGTAGATGACTACACGAGATATACTTGGACACAATTTCTGAAAAAGAAGAATGAAACTGAGAAAGTGTTGCCAGATCTATTAAGGCAATTAAAAATTGAAAAAGAGCTCAGCATAGTAAGGATCAGGTCAGATCAAGGGACAGAGTTCGTAAACAATGCCATCAAGGACTTCTGTGGATAAAATGGCATTTCCCATCAACTTTCGGTCGCACGCACTCCTCAACAAAACGGAATAGCTGAAAGAAGAAACAGAACCTTGAAGGAAGCTGCACGAACCATGATAGCACATTCAGGACAGCCAAAACGCTTCTGGGCCGAAGCCATCAATACCGCGTGCTTCACTCAGAACCGAACTCTCATCATCAAAGCTCATAATATGACTCCATATGAATTATTGAAAGGTAAGAAACCGATTGTTAGTTATTTTCACGTCTTTGGATGCAGGTGTTTCATTCACAACAATGGGAAGAATCACCTATGAGCTTTCAATGAAAGAGCTGATGAACGTTTATTCATGGGATATTCTTCAGTAAGCAATGCATTTAGGGTTCTAAACAAAAGAAATATGGTCATTGAGGAATATATTCACGTCAAATTTGATGAAAGTGCTGAAAAGATCTCACAAAACAATGCATCACTCAAAAATCTGAGCATGCAAGCTAAACCTAGTCAAGCAAGAGAATAAGATTTGGATCATGAAGATCTTTACACAGCATATCAAAGATGTCAATCTCAATCCATTGAACCTGAAATACAAGTTAAGATTGAAGCAACTAACGAAGAAGTTTCACCTGCACCATATGCTCAAGCTGAACCAATGATCTATGTTTAACTACCCTACATACCTGAGATGGATGCACAAAATCCACCAACACAAAATCCACCAACACCTGGTTGAGAGATCTTCCACCTGACCAAGTCATTGGCAATATTTAAGAAAGTGTAAGAACTCGTGCTACCATGCAAGAAACTATGATGGCATGCTTCCTATATCAAATAGAGCCAAAATCCGTCGAAGATGCCTTGGGTGATCCAGATTGGGTTTCAGCCATGCAAGAATAACTTCATCAGTTTGAACGAAACAATTTTTGGGAATTTGTTCCCAGACCAACTCATTAGAACGTAATTGGAACCAAATGGGTTTTTAGAAAAAAATGAGTGAGGATGGAGTTATTGTCAGGAATAAAGCAAGGCTAGTAGCCAAAGGGTACTGCCAAGAAAATGGCATAAATTTTGATGAAACATTCTCTCCAATTGCCAGACTTGAAGCAATCCGAATATTTCTCGCCTATGTTGCTCATATGAACTTCAAAGTGTTCTAAATGGATGTAAAGAGTGCGTTTCTAAATGGACATCTTGAAGAAGAAGTCTATGTGGAACAACCTCCACGGTTCATAACTGACATTGATAGTGATAAAGTATATCACTTAAAGAAAGCATTAAATGGTTTAAAACAAGCACCACGTGCTTGGTATGACACTCTATCATATTTCCTTATCAAATGTAGTTTTACGAAAGGAGTGGTTGATAAAACCCTCTTTCGTATCAAAGATGGTGACCATATCCTACTTGTGCAAATATACGTTGATGATATTGTCTTTGGATGCACAAATCCAGAACTATGTGATAAGTTCTCAAAGCTCATGCGAGGAAAATTTGAAATGAGCATGATGGGAGAACTAAAATAGTTTCTTGGGTTAGAAGTTAAACAATGTCCTGATGGAATTTTCACCAATCAGGCAAAATACATGAAAGATTTAATCCGGAAGTTTGGAATCGATGGAAAAACATATGTCAAAATTCAAATGAGCACATCTCTGCGTATGGAAATTGATAATGAGGGAAAAGATGTGGGTCAACCAAAATATAGAGGGATTATTGGTGTAACACCCCGAAATTTTTAAACTTTTGAAGCTTATATAATAAAGGTGAAATCTCATTAATTCCCAAAACATAATACAAAGAGTACGGGGTGCTATGCCACACCTGAGCTAGAGAACTCAGGTGCACAGGCTAACTAACTATTATCCTCAATAATGTAATACATAATCATGGCACGCAGGCCGAAAGGGAAACTAACTACTTCTACGCTTCAAGCTCCAGTGTCTACTCTTCTGTGCCTGAAAGCCAAATATATCTGTTCAGCGAGAGATGCTGGTAACCCACTCCAACGCGTTGAAATACCATACATATAGATATATACATAGTTATACGAAAAACCATTTCGAAGCATGAAGATATATCCTAAGAGACTCTAGCTTTCAAAACAGGGAATAGACTCAACAGATAGAGCTAAGCACAGACAACAGTTATACCAAACATATACAGTTTACAATATGGGGAAACAGGTAAGGCAGATGAAGATAAGCACAGTTAATATCCATAACCCAACATATACGATTCCCGGCATAAATCCCAAAGTCACATCCGAAGACACTCATAACAAAAACTCATCCATATCTCATCACTCAAGCACACTTTTTTGGCGCCACAGGACCAATCGCATGCCCATACATGATGGTCAGCGCATATAGCTCTGACACGGCCCCGCAACACCCTGCCCCGTATCGCAACACGGAGGGGTCGATCGCAACCGACCGATGAACCGCAGCTCATCATAGTTTGATCGCAACCAAACAGTGGACCGCAGCCCAAGAGTATGTCATCTGACCGCAGCCAGGAAATATGAACCGCAGCTCATGTAGAAACGTTTGATCGCAACCAAACGGTGGACCGCAGCCCAAGAGTGTACATCTGACCGTAGCCAGCTTCTGAACCGCAGCTCAGGAATAACCAATCCGATCACAACCGAATAGGGGTATCATGCACACATAACACATAGCAAGCACATGCAGCCCACATTGACACATTGGGAAGGGGGAGAAGTCGTATAATGAAACATATGCGTGATCATCCACATACTAAGAATAATCCTAAGGGGTTCATACCTCTTACACCTAGGCCAATGGGATACCAATTCACTAGCATGCAATATATATATGACTTATTCAACCTACGAATGGTACCCGAACATCAAACTAGACATAGGCACGATGGACGGGGTCCGTTGGGACACCACGGGGGTCGGGGGAACATCAAACGGGGAAGCCAGAAACCTGATGTGGGGTATTTTCCAGCGAGTAGCCGGTGGGTGAGGGTTCACCCGCCGGCTGCCCGCCGGTGGCGTAATTCCGGGCAGCGGCTGCCCGGCGGGCAGCTGCCCGCCCGCCGGCTGCCCGCTGCCGGCGTTGCCCATATTGGCCGCGGCTAGGTGGCGGGTCCCCTACCCCCACCTACCCCCCACTGACTCTTTTTTTCACCAAAAACGCCCTGGGAACCTTTGTGGAACCCGAAACGATGCTTAGACACTTTCGAACGCAATCGACGACAATACGTAGACAATTAACGGATCCAAAAGCAAGAACATACGGCACATAACCTATCATGCTTCTCTAACATAATCAACACCCCAACATACGAATCCCTACCCAATATACCAAGAACGATACCATACGAGTTCCACGATACAACCTAGGGTTCTAATTACTTTTAAATCAACAAGAACACAATTCATCTTCTAATATCAAGATTCGATAGGAATATTACATAAATATCAAGAAAATCATATAAACAACAAGAACATCAAGAACACCACATAATTATCAAGAACATCAAGAACACCCTATAATCATCAAGAACCTCTTATCATCAAGATTATCAAGATCACCCATGGAATCACAACACCAATTACCAAGATCAATATAACGAGTCATCAACACACAAGAATATGAGGAAAGCCTAAGAGGGGAATCATAGCTATGAAAATAGGTCTTGTTGAGACATGGGTTACCTCTTAGCCTTAATTAATTCCTTGGCTATGAAGGGTCTTTCTTTAAGCTTTCTTCTTTCTTGACTTCTCCTAGGGGAATTCTTGGAATTCTTGGTGTGGTGAGAGATTATTGTGGTGGGGGTTCTAGGTGCCTCCTATGTTCCCTATTTATATACCTAAGGGTCTTACTTAGGGCCCAAATACTATAGGCTTGCTAACTCTATTCCTTTTAGGACTAGGGGTTGGGTTTAGAGATGAGGGCCAACGGACTATGGTGGGCATTTTCCTAATTAATTATTGTAATTTAATTCTTTCTTTTGGGCAATTGGTTAAATGATTAATCGGTTTTAGGGGTCGTAACACGGGGTGTTACACTCTCCCCCCTTGCAAGGGGCTTCGTCCCCGAAGCCCGGTGTGTTAATCCACTCTTTTCACCCCTAGACATCCCGCAACTTGGCCTCCCGGTTAGGAATGTGGCCCCATGTTTTGTCTTAGCTGGGGTAAACTGGACTTCTGGTGGTGTTGTGATAGGAAAGTTTGGGTCTACCTCGGTCTCCTGCTCCTGAGCTGGACGCCCCACGAGTGCCAAAGGTGGCCTCGATTGCTGCCACCTTCTGATCTAGTGCGCGTGTCGTACGGATCAAGGATGAAAACCCTTCCTCCATGATTTGGTTTTGCCGGTTGAGTTGTGCGAGTATGCGCTCATTGATCGAGCCCTCGTTTTGCTCTCTTGGGTTCCCTCCCGATCGTGGGTGCAACGACGGGTTAGGCTCGTCATCCTCCTCCTGGTCCTCATTTCCCTCCAGACCCCCACAATCTTGCATTGCTCGTTTGAGCCTTTCGTTGGAGATGTCCAATCGGTCGACCAATTCTCTTCGCTCTTCCTCGGGTTTGAGGCAAATTTCTTCGAGGGTGAGGTAATGTCCCCCTTTAGTGTAGTAGATATCATTGCGGCGGAGGTTCTGGGCGTTAAAGATCACGCTATTCGAGGTTTTAACCTCGGTGTGGCTTAGGTCCACCCCCTTCTTTTCCATGATCCAACTTAGGATTATCCCGTAGGGTAGGCTAAGTCGGTTGCTTGTTTTGCAAAACTCCATGTGTTTTAGCATGAGAGCCGGCAGGTTGAACTTGATTTTGTGTTTCAAGAGATAGGCAAAGGTGCACTCTAAACTCCCCACGTCCTTTCTCTTATTGTTCGTGGGAAAGAGGCTATCGGTTACAATCATAACCAATATCTTTTGCTCCGCCGATAGCCACTTTCTATTCAGTCGTGTGGCCGAGGTGAATCCTTCCTCCTTCTCGAGTAGGTACCCGAGATAGTCTTTGTACCCCGTGTTTTGGGTATCAATCCACCCCTTTCGGTCGTAGTTTGACACACCCGTGGTGGTCAATTTCAAGAGCTTGGCCAAACGGCCTTCGGAAAGTATGATTTCCTTGCCTCGGACCTTAGTGGTGATTTCTAGTTTATCACCTCGTTTGGTGGCCACCAACTGTTGATAGAACTCCTTCACCAATTCGAGGTACGTATCCCCTTTAATGGTGAGATAAGT